TGTCAGTGGAAGATGGCTCCCTTCAGTCTGAGAGGAGATGAGACCCCTGAGCAGAAAGTGTTCTGCGTTCTCCACTTCAATAAGAGTGAATCAGTCATAACTGTGCAGTGTGATTTTCGTGGGTAGTGAACCTCAAACAGCTCAGAGCGTTCGTCGTTGGTTCCACAACACTGGATGATCTCCGAAATCGCACTGAAAGAGCCGTGAGTGCAGCGACATCCGACATGCTCAATCCAGTATGGGATGAATTTGACTATGTTGTCCATACAGCTGGAGGAGGTTCATATTGAGCACTTGTAAAATTACATAATAAACTTTATGCTCATTTAAACCTTTTACAGTTTACTGCGTTGATCTGTAACGATTTAGAAGTGAAATAAATCATTTTGAAATCAGATGAATCTTTTTGAATCGCCCTGTATAATGAAGTCTATTACTTAACTCAACGGTTTGAGGTGAGTGTGTGATGATTTCCATGCTAAATGGTGTACATAAGCTCCCATTACTTGTTAGCTACATTAGCCTTGTAGCTCCAGTGCAAAACTAAAGAAGCAAACTGCAGACACCAAACAAGTCTTGGCTGATCAACCACATGAGAAAGAAGAGAAACCAGAGTAGATTAGATGTTTCACTGAAGTATCCCTTTAACATGGGGATCTGTGACAGCTGGCAGTCACTCAAAGCCTGACGCTACAGCTCCTGTGTGGCTTTTCATCTTTATCACCCCCCCCACACACACACCACCACCACCACCACCATTTCTTCTGTCTTTTTGCAAACAGCGAAGGAAGCGTGCGAACGAGGGAATGACAGGAGAGGAAGGAAAAGGGAGAAAATTAACAACAATTATCACCGCATTCACAAAAAGCCTGGATAACGGAGTGGACGCCTTTGTGCTACAATTACACTGAAAACAAAGGCTTCAATACAATTCAGAATGCCAGCATTTAATTGAGGGTATTTACGTCTACATTCGACAAATCATTTAGGAATCACAGCCCTACTGACGCATAGTGCCCTCCCTTTCAGGGAGTAAAAATAATTGGACTATTTAGCATAGTTATTGTGGTTTATACAAACCCAATTCCAAAAAAGTTGGGACAGTATGTGAAATGCAAATAACCCCAGAAAGCTGTGGTTTGTAAATCTACTTTATGCTGTACTTTAACAAACAGTACAAAGACATAAAAGATATTAAATGTTTAAAACTGTTCATTGCTGCATCTACAAACTTAAGTTAAGACTGTACATGAACAGTGGAAGCCACATGTATACAATAACATCCAGAAACACCGCCGACTTCTCTGGGCTGGAGCTCATCTGAAATGAACTGATGCACAGTGGAATTGTGTATGTGATGAGTTGATCTTTTGGACTGTTTATGAAAATAATGGATGTCGTGTTCTCTGGACCAAAGAAGCAAAAGACCAGAGTGTGAGTGCTAGTCCTGTCCTGCCTGTCTCCAAATGAAAACGTGTGATGCATTACAAAGTGTAAAATATGACAAAGTTCTTGTAAGGTTGTGCAGTTAAAGACTCGTACAACAGAAGAATCACAAAAAAATTGTGTTTTCAAAACTGGATACATTTTTGGTGAAAACCGCTATTTTCAGGCTTAATTTTCAGGTTTAATGAGAGCTGTTAAAAGGAAAAGTGATGCAACACAGTGGTAAACATGCTCTTGTCCCAACTTTTTTGGAACTTGTTGCAGGCATCATGTTTGGAATCAGTGTACATTTACAAAAAAACAATAAAGCTTATAGGGTAAAACATCAAAGGTCATGTCTTGTACTGTTTTCAATTTAATGCAGTCAAACATAATTTACTAATGATTGCTCTGTTCCTGTCCCAACTTTCTTGGATTTGGGTTTGTATTTGGCTGATAATCCTTTGTGATAAACAACTACCTGAAGTCTGCAACTCACAGACATCATATGCACTGTGACTGTCTGCCTAATGTAGCTAACAACTAAGGGAAGCTTATACACATCAATTAGCATGGTGCTAATTGTTTTGAAAGTTGTTTTTGGCTCATCTTCAGTCAGTGAAATGCTAAATTTAGGTGGATCTGAGCAATTAAAGGGTCCTTATGACCTAAAAGTTTAATGTGGTGTTTATGTTTTTCAGTACTCTGTAGCGCAGTATTGTGTGTTACAGCATCATCAGTTTGACAGAATTCGCTAAGTTGAATCAATTTCATGTTTTCATCACTATGTTGTCATCAATATTCTCTCAACACCAATATCTAAACTGATCCAGTCAGGTGATGAGCCATTTCTGTCCTTTAAGCAGTGCAAATTCTACTTTGCAATGATTATTTGAAGAACGTTCTCTGACTATAGTACCCAGCATGCATTACGCCACTGGGGAATAATCCAACCACTGGGAATCCCTGTGGTGTCTACCAGTCGTGACTGCTAGCATATATAGGCTGATAAATACAACTAAGCTAGCGTTAGTGTAACCCTTAACTCAGTCATGAAGAAAACAGTGAGTGTGTTTACATGCACTTAATAATCCGATAACTGCGCAAAATCAGACTTTGTCAGTAATCAGATAACAGGGAAACTCCGGGTCTACAAGGGGCAGGGAGTAATCGGATTTCTGCTCTGCAACCGACCAATAAACTCTCAGAAGATGTGACGTAACAAAACTTCATGTTGTGGCGTCTTTTTTAAACATCGCACCACTTTACCTGAAAATATGAACGTACATCATCTAGAAGATGACAAATATTTAAATCCTTCACTTTGTTGAGCATGTAGTTCTTTCAGCGTCGCTCCAAAAGTGTTTTGCTGCCATCTTGCAATGACACTGCTCTCTTATTTCCGATACCGCGGTCCGTTTTCGCACATGAGAAATCCGAAAGAAATCAGAGTAAGAGTTCACATGCACTGAAAAATCTGATTACTGAGCTAAAATCCAGCCTCTTTATCAGATTTCTTAATCAGATTTCTAGACCTTACTCCAATCTAAGAAATTTAGAGTAGTGTAGTGTTTACATGACCGTTTGAACAATCAGATAACCACAGAAATCCGATTATGATTGGATTATTAAGTGCACGTGAACGCACTCAGTGATTCTGTCATTATTCAGCTCAGAATAGACGCCAGTGACGAGTTTGTACCCCTTTAGCCAGAGAAAAGGAGCCAAACTGAGGTAAGGGATCTAGATAGGTCATCTGAGTCTGTTCTGTCAGAGTCATCCAGCCATAATAATGATGATTTGAAGACAGTCCCTACAGCTATACAGCTGCAGTAAGATATTAAGCTTAGTCATGGTACCATTCATTTCTGCTTTCCTTCTGCACTCATCGGCTTTTGAAGAAAAAAAAAATCAGAACATCTCCATCCATCTCCAAAAACCCACCCCCATATTTTAGTTCCTCCTACCTTCAGAATACATCAAAAGCGGGGTTTCCTAATCTTTAAACCAGAAAATCTCATTTTGGAGGCTACTGTGGTGCCACTGTGGGATGCAAGTAGGCGTGTTTACAACAGGAAACATCTTGTAGTAATGAAGTCCCACTGGCAGCCATATATGCCCAAACTAATACAGGAAACATATTCAGAGCCAATAATGCATCGGATGATATGTATATATGGTTCCTCAGCATAATTAGAACCATCAAATAACAGTGGTTCTCAGTCCCCCAGCACAAATCAGTGTTTTCTTTGCTTTAACACATCTGACTTAATCAGCTGATCAAGACGTTAATGAACTGAATCATTACAGGAAGGCAAACTTGAAGCAAGTGGTCTTTTAGGACTGAGGCAGAATCTGAAGCCAAAGTAATTTGCCCATCAATGCAGTGCATGGAAACAACAAATGAGTGAAATTCCACTGCAACGCAGCCTGCCTGGTGCCAAAACGCCATCTGGTGGCCAAGATGGGAAAAATAAGAACAATTACTTGGCCCACAGCAACAGAAACTCTGGTTTTGTTTTTAGATGCAATCCACCTTGCTCTGGAGTGACATCTAGGTTGGTTAAGTAATACGTCATGCCCATACAAGGAAGTCCGGGTCTGAGCTGGTTCTCTCTATGGGAAAAATGAATGGTGTTTTTGGAAATTTCCACAGTCGCACCCTGTGACGAACAAGACTATTCCAAAGTTGATACACCTTTTTCCTCTGAATGTCACTGGTTCCTCTGAATTAAGAGGTCGTTTAGGAGTGGAAACTTTAATGTTGCAACATGCAGGTTAACAATGCTGCACACTGAACCAACATCACTGGACTGACCTCACCAAAATACTCTAAATAGGAAGCTCTGTCAGATGTGGTGGTTAGGCTGCTTTGGCAGTTTTAGGCTTCAGTGTGCAAGGATGTTAGCGTGCTAGTAGCATTAATGCAGCAATATTCATATTTTGACTCCTGAACAACCTCGGATCCAATAACACATGGGGAGAATGGACACACGACAAAACTATCAGCTTTAAAACGTTTCTGTTTACTGCAGGCCCTTCCTGGATCGGGGCCTTGCCGTGGTCTAGGGATCTTCAGAGCTAAGTCATCTGGAGCAGTATGGTCCCAGTAGGGTCTCCCAAGGCGAACAGATCTGGAGTGAATAGTGGAGTGGAGTGGGAGAGGATTACCAGGACCTGGACCTACCCCTGGAGCCAGGCCTGGGGTAGAGTTCCTCGGCGAGCGCCTGGTGGCCTGGCAGCCCCTGTAATCCGGCCGGGCTAAGCCCGAAAAAGCAACATGGGGGGGCCCACCACCTGCAAGGTCCAGCACTGGGGACCAGTGCAGTGCCGTATAGGCATTGGGAGATGGCAGGGAGGCCCTTGGCAGCAAAGACCCCTGCGGCGGAAAATGGCGATACCTGCCATCTTTAAAACACAGTATGCAAAAACTGCTTAGACTTGCATTTTCAGTGGATTTCACAAAAAACGGTAAATGAGAGACACCCGGAAGAGAGTGAGGGGCGCATCAACCAAACAGATCATCACAGATTTACTCAACAGCTACACCATAAATTGTTATGTAAATAAACACAAACACTCTTCTATTATAACAAAGGCAAACTTTATTTACAAGATCTGAAAAATCAAACATATTTACAGCACTATTTACACAACAGCTGAGCAGGCAAAGACTGAGTGAGCAGTGTTTATGTAAACACACACACACACACACACACACACACACACACACACACACACACAGGGGTACAAATAAACTTTAGATCCAATCACCAGCCAAAAAACGGCTGAAATTAAGAAATCAAAATTCAATTTGGACGAGCGTAACTGAATAAAAGGGTACAAAATGTTCCAAAACATGCCTGAATTCTCATAAACTCTTACAGCTGCTGTAGTCTAAAGATAATTTAATCTCCGGTTGTGAGCTGAGATGAAATGGCACTGATAATGTCGTATTTACGATCTTTATTGGGAAATATGATCCACCAGTTCTCCTGCAACATCACTGCAAATATACAGTGCCTGTAAGAGTTTTGGAGGCTGGGAGAGCTTAAAACGATAGTATAAACAAATAGGAACAAATAGTAGTAATAGTAGCTTATACCCAACCAATTAGCATGGTGAGCTGTCAAGTAATCTATAACAGACCTGATTATGTGGTTTATTACACTGTAATATACATTTTGAGGCAGGTGTGTGGTGATTTATTCCCAAGGTGTCAACCAGAGTTCAATCTGGACCACATTTACGTTGGTAGTTCTGCGGAGAACACGTCTGATGAACTCGTTAGCTAATTCACAGTGTTGGAAGAGGGAAAGCACTAATCTCTGTAGAGCTGTGGCCTGGAAGGAACTCAGTCTGACACACCTGATTTAGACAAATTGGTGTACATGAGCTTCCATTACTTGTTAGTGAGACATTACTTGTCTTGTTTCTCCAGTGTAAAATTTAAAAAAGCACATTTCAGACACCAAAGATGTTCGGGATGATTGACTACAGAGGGGGAAGGTGTGTAAATTAGATTTTTGGCCAAACTATCACTATAATGCTTTTATAACGCTTACTTAAATGGAGAGTGATATATAAACTCGTAAGAAAGCAGGGAAGAACTTGTACCCATGTCTGTGTCTCTCTCTCTCTCGCTCTCTCTCTCTCGCTCTCTCTCGCTCAGTCAGAGTCGCTGCTGCTGCTGGAGGAGTCGGTGCTCATGGCCTCCACGTCATCCTCGTTCTCCTTGTTGTGGCCCGGCGGCTCCAGGCCAAAATCGTTGCCGTGGTGAGGGGGCAGCATCGCCATGGAAACGTCGGAGGACTGCCAGGGATACTGAGGAGTAAGCACGTCTGAAAGGAAAAGAAAAAGTGTCATCATTTCCCACACAACATTCCAACAATCCACACACACAGATACAGACACACACACACACACCCACAGAGACACACACACACACACACACACACAGATACAGACACACACACACACACACACACACACCCACAGAGACACACACACACACACACACACACACACACCCACAGAGACACACACACACACACACACAGAGTAGGGGTGTAAAAATGCATTCCAAGAAACAAATTAACTGCAAATGTTCTCCTAAATTTACACTGGAACTGAACTGAACTGAAATCTGATTCTTTCATGAAACGCTGAATTATTTTCTTAGGAACTGGAAATTAATCAAATCGCTGGGATGTTTCTAAAGAAAATTCCATTGTGTCCATTAGAAAGTGTGCATAATTTAGGCATATATCATCATTGGTTTCTGAGATACAGATGCTCTAAAAAGTAGACATGGATTTAATTATTGCCTTAAAATTCATGTTATGGAAGAATTTACAGAAATCTATATAGAAATTTATAGAAATCACATGATTCTTTAGTTTAGTTGTGTGTAATGACCAACAACAAAAAAGCAGAAAAAAGCATGTATGCCAATTTATGTCTTGCTGAAATCCAGTAAACAAAAAATTATTTCTTGACAGTAATGAGTCAGTCAGGAGGTCGTCTGTGTTTTCCTAAAGACTGATCCCAAAAATCTTATAATTTGGGGGACGGCTGGGATGGCTGGTGTAGGAAAAATATCCTTTGACCAGCAGAGGAAGCTCTTGATGTACCTCCCCTCAGATATAATGCACACAGCCTACTGCACAAACAGCAGAGCCACAAAAGGCTGGCAGAAAAACGGTGCACCTAAAAGTGATCTACTGCTGTTTGCGAACCAGAATAGATAAGGCTTTATCTTGCACAGACACACAGTGTTACCTGGCAATCTCCCTGCAGCCAGTGCATCTCCCGGCAGGTGGCCGTTCACGCCGTTAGCTGGCAGGTTGCTCATGTGACCCAGCATCCCGCTGCGCATCTCCAGATCGGTGGGGTACGGCCTCCGGGGGTCACCTGACAAACACAGTGTGCAGGAGCTTAAAACTACACCGATAAATCAGCACAGCTGGAGCAAAAGAAGCGTCCAAAAGAAGCAGCGCAGCTGTGCAAGCAGGAGGTGAACAGCTGTTATTACAGGAAAAAAAATCTGCTGAGAATAAAGAACAAATTAGGACTTGACTGATTTATCAGTTAGCGGATCAAATCGAAACAGGCACTATATAACGTTTAGGGGTTTGGAGACCTCTCTGGTGGAAATGTGTAATTACACACAATGTGCGGAAGAACATTTTGTAAAGTTGGCTGTGTGTTCGGACCCCTTCCCCGAGGGGACGAATGTGATGACGGAAAGAGAACTGAAAGAGAAACTTGGTGGAGGGCTTGTCTTCCGAGGATGTGAGTGAATTATCTACTATTGTCATCACATCATCAGTATAATGTTGACTTTGAATTTGAGGCCAAAACATCAAGCCGGACCTTCTTTTGGAGCCTGTGCGTGTTACTATAAGTCACAGGCTTTATTTCATATTTCAGGCTTTGCAGGGCGACTCACGGCAGCACACAGACCATTTTAGCATATTTTTCATGTATTTGTTACCAGCAGAGCTGATTACTGTGATGCTTTTTATTAAGCATCCTAAGAAAACAACACATACTCTACAACTCATACAAACGCGGCAGCACAGATGCCAACTTAGAGAGCTTTTATCACCCCTATTTAGAAACTGCACTGACTGCCTGTATCTTTTAGGTTTGATTTTAAAGTTCTGCTACTAGTTTTAAGGCTCTAAATGACCTTTTCTTGCAGAGACTCGTTCAGTTATTCTGCTTCTAAACTGTGGAGCTCAGTTCACCTTTTATTAGACAGTCGAGCTCAGAGCTCACTTCTCATAAACACCTGAAAACGCAGCTCATTAAAGCTCTACGGCTCTTTGGTGTTCATGTTCTCCAGGGTATATTTTTGGTTTGTCCATCTGAATTTACATGACCGAATCTTAAGGTTAATTATTATCAAATTATTCAGTAACTGCATGAAATAAATGAAAATTTTTATTATTTTTTTTTTTTGTAAAAGCTCCCCTCAACTTAACAGAACGTGTTTATGATCACACATATTGCTATATGCTTACAATTTACTGCTGAAAGCCAAAAATCTTAGACGCTCTTTGTATTATTTTATAAAGATAATTTTTACAGAGCAGATCACTGAAGAGACGCCATCTGTTTATAGTTTATAGCCCAGATTTGTGGAAAAATGGGTCGACTTTCAGTAGAAAAAAATTTGTGAGTTCAGCTTCTTTTATTATAAGGGTTTAAAATTACATCACCCATCTATTTGACTGGATAGAAGACAGTTACAGCTCTCATACGACCCCCACCTTTAGAATGTAGCTTATGAAATATGAATGTTAAGATGAATATGACAAATAATGTCACTTATCAACCGTCTATAAAGCGCTGTACTGTGCAGGCAGCCACTTTAGACAGCAGGATCTGTCTCACAAACCATATCAGCAACTGTGACAATGAGCATCATAAATACAGAGGAATCTGATACACGAAGTCTGAAATGGCTGAACTTTTATTCATTTTTATAGCTCTCTGTGAGTCACACCACACTGACAAGTCTGTATAACCTGTATAAAGAGCTGGAAAAATTAATAGTTTTTATTTCGAAATCGCAATTTTAAAGAGTGCAATTTTAAAATCGCAACATCTGCAATTTTTATTATTATCTCTTATAATCTGTCATCAATATGTTGACACATTGCAAGTTTTAAATAAAGTAAATTCAGCCTGATAACATAAGGCTAGTGAACTGCTTGTAGATTAATTCGACTAATCAGAAGCAACCAAACATCTGTGCGCTGTGACATCGCAACCACAATTACTGGCAGGCTGCGGTGTTATCCAACTTAGATATCGCGTTAACATTAACTTAGATATTGTGTTAGGCCTTCAAGCCTCAAGCCAGAAGAATTATACACTGGTCTTCTTAGCCCAAAAAAGTGGCCCATACCTCAATATATAGAAAACAACCACAATTAAAATCATAATCGCAATATCGGTCAGAAAAATCACAATTAGATATTTTTCCAAAATCGTTCAGCCCTACTCAGTTCATTTAAAAGCGTCGTGAGTGTGTTTTCACCATTTTTCTTTTTTTGCTCGCTGCATTTTCCTCTTTGGTGGTCTCTGTTTTCATTGGCTATTGGAGGAATCCGTTCAGATTGAATCGCTGTCCAGTGTACACTATGCTTGGGTTGAAAAAAATCAAATGTTTGATATACTCTGACTGGCCTGAAATGCCGTCAGGAGATAAAAAAAGCCTCTCACACACCACTCGGTTTACTTTCCCAGCTATCGACTCTGGCTGCCCCAAAATCACTAGAGCAAACCAGCACAGACTCCGTCTGAGAACCAAGGCTAAAACTGGGGTAAAAGTCATGTAGTGCAGTGTTTCTCAACCCTGGTCCTGGAGGCTCAACGCCCTGCAGTTTAGTGTTTCTCCCGAAACACCTGATCCAACTCAGTAACAGCCCATTATTGTGTTAAAGTGGGTGTGTTAAAGCAGATAGAGCACTAAAACATGCAGGGCAGTGGGCCTCCAGGACCAGGATGGAGAAACACTGCTGTAGTGTAACCCCAGGGTAAAAGAAACACAGAAATCAACAGAGCAAAAAGGCGGAGCGGGGAGAGCAGATAGAATAGAATACCTGGGACCCAGTTAAGAGGAGCACACACCGCATTACTGGCACTTATCCTGTGTGCATACTTAATGATTTCCTCCGAAGAGATGCTGCCTGAAGGAGAAACAAAACACAGAAAAAATTATTACAGATAACCAAACTTCTCATTAACAGTAATTAAAAAGGTACGCCATTCCGACTGCTGATTTCCTGATAGCAAACGAGCCGGATATTCAACATCCGAACAGCATTCGTTATGAAGGGTCTTAAAGTTTAGAGTCAATGAACTGCACTCAGAGTGGGAGAAGTGGGAAAAACAATGTCATGACACTTCAAGGCTTTATGTATCACAATATTTTTTTTTCCTGAGGTCTGCAGACAAAACGCACCAGAATATCAGCAGATCCACATTAATAGATTAATACATTCCTTTACTATACATGGTTAAAACTAGCATTTAATGTATTATATACGTTATACAGTATTCTGTATGTAGTATTCTGTATTCTTTTTTCATCCTTCAAATGTTCTGTAACTGCAATATCCAGCATGAATTACACAAATACATCATACAAGCACTGAGAATCTCCCCCCACAGCGATGAAGAAATCCACGACCACACAACCCATCCTTAACCCTCTTTCGCTCATATGATGACAGCAATGTTTAAAAAAATACTTTTTACTTTACTTACATAAAATGGACCTGCCTATTAAAACCTAAATTTGAACAAAAAATAAAAAATAAAAATTATAATAAAAACAATGCATGCATGGGTCCTTTGCGGTACGTTGCCTTAAGGCAACACTGTGCAATAATGAAAAGAAGAAATACATCATAAGAAACTGATGTTTCTTCTCTTTAATGTTAATCTTTTAATAATTTCTCTGATGTTTTTGCTCTTTAAGTACTAAAAATACTAAATCTTTTTCATGTTATTTTCAAAGAAAATATAATACCACAATGAAACGACGAGAAGTAATGTTTCCAAAAAGAGGTTTAAAAATGCCCAACAAGAGACAGCATGACCCAGTACACATTTTTTTGGTTTATTAAAAATACTTCCCTTCATTGTGCTTCATTATTAGCATTTCATTGTCATTAAATATGAATCAAGCCACTGTAAAGTGAAGAAGTTTGTTGCCCTGAGGCAACATTGTGCAACAGAGGCTTAAGTATCCATCACAAGCACAGGTCGTTTTTTTGTCCAACTTTCACATCATCATTAAAAGGAGGTTTTTCCAGTCTTTAAACCTGAAAATAACCCAAGACTATTGTGGCGTCTCTGTAGGAGGTGTTTACAACAGATGTGGGAATGGTTATTTTGTTCATTTTGGCCTGAGTCCTGTTTAATGGCTTTTTTTTTTAATTAAAAGTAGTGTTTGCTACTTCATTTTAACTGTTAAATCTTAACCACAGTGAACCACAGTACCTTTTCTGGCCTTCTCGATGGACTTGAGCTTCTCTTTGGCCTGGTACACGGCAGTAGCCTGGAGGAGAAACAGTACATTTAGTTTCAGTGTAAAGGCTGAAGCACAAACAGGACATCACTTACGCTGCTGTGGCCTCAGGACCACTTTAAAAAACATAGTTTGGTCTTGAAGCTTGAACTTCGTCCATACCTTGAGGAATAAAATGATCATTTCTAACATCATAATCAAACATGATGATTAAAGAGAACATCATTAATAAAAGGCATACATAGGACATTGGAAAGTATACATAAGACAGCAAAACCCCTGAGACTTTGGCCCAGTCCCATTTCTTCTTTTTACCCCTACCCCTCGTTCTCGAGTGTCACCCTAACCCCTTCAAACTGAGTTACAAGAGGGTAGTGGTTGAAATCTTGTCCTATGAAATGGGACCCTCAAATAAAAAATAAAAACAAAAAACAAAACATCACTTCATTAACAGCTACCAGCGCTGCTCTGTAGGCGACCCTGCCAGTCTGCAGTGACAGCAGAGGAGGGTAAAGTTCAGCTCCTCACTGCTGGGCTTTAGTTACATTTAGGGCATCATATGATCTTCAAAGAGGGGGGCAATTATTTATTATCGCCCACCCCTAATTCTTCAGTGATATGAAGCTGAAGTCAGATATTCACCAGCTTCTTGTTCAAATTTCCCCGTTCCACCTTAAATGGTGCAGCAGTTACATTCTGGCGCTTCAGGCGTCAGAACTGCTGGACTATTTAAGGTGGAACGGGAAAGTTAGCTAGCTAGCTACTGAGACATTAGCATGCTATTAGCGATTTTTTATACTTGTTATGAAGAAAACGGCCATAATACACTGAAACGACATTAAACTAAGATAAAACAGTGATTATCGTAATTTTTTAACAGAGAAAATTCTCACATTTGTGTGTTTCTTTCTTTTTCTCATGTCTCTCTGTTTGGAGTCTCTGAAAAACCTCCGTTTGGAGGGTCTTGTAGCCCCAACACTTCGCCCTACCCCTCTATCTCAACAACAATCGGGACACCCTACCCCTAGACGTGAACGTGCAAAACAGAGGGCTAAGGGCTAAGTGGTAGGGCGAGGGGTGAAATGGGATTGGGCCTAAAACTGATGCTAATCAAGCCTGTGGGCGTGGCAGCATTCAGGGGCGACTCACCAGGATGTGCTCCGCCTCTTTGAGCTGTTTCTGCAGCAGCTGGATGTCGCTGTCCCTCTTCTCCGCTTCCTTCTCCAGCTGCTGCATCTCCTGGTGAATCCTGCCCTGCTCCACAGCCGTCTGCATCAGCTCCTGGAACTCTTTGTCCCTCTGAACCAGCAGCTCCAGCACCTGCACACACACACGACACACACACACATCAGCCTCTACACCAAACTACTCATACCTAGCAGAGGCGCAAAGATTCACAAAACTCATAATGCGGTCCGATAAAATACAGCGTCATCTAAGGCTACGTTCACATTACCAGGCTGAAGTGGCACAATTTAGATTTTTTGGCCTAATGTGATTCAGATCTGATATATTCAGGGCTGTGTGACACACAAATCTGATGTTTTCAAATCCGACCTGAGCCACTTCCATATGTGGTCCTAGATCGGATTTGTATCCGATTCGTGGCCATGCGACCTTAATGTGACGCTCAGATCGGAATTCTTGTGCTTTTTTCCACTGTGCCATCATTCAGCGTTACCATGGCAGCAGCTCTGAACAGAAGTTAAAGCCTGTAAACGGTGGAAAAGCAGCTCATCTCACCTTTTTCTCCTTCGTCTCGCTCTAATAATGAAGCTGAGAGCTGATCAGAGTTAATGATCTTCTCAGCGAAGCTCGTTCTGCTCGTTAGTTTGTGCTGATGATGAACGTGATTCATTCACGTGACGTTACTGAGTAGGATGAGCTCATGAGGGTCATTTCAGGACGCTGGTTCGTTCACATTGACAGATTTGAGTCACTTAACTAAACGAGTGTGAACCAGAAAACACTGAAAACAAAAAAAAACGCGGTATGAAGTTTGAGTTTTACGTTATGTTTGCGTCGCATCTTCTTCTGTGAGTTTGTTGGCTGGTTGTAAAGTAGAAATCCGTTTACTGTCTGATTCATGTAGACCTGGAGTTTCCCCATTATCTGATTATTCAAGTGCATGTAAATGTTTTGATCAGATTACTAACAAAATCTGATTTTCCGCAGTTATTAAGTGCATTTAAACACACTCAATGAAAGGCCAGATGGAGGATTATGTGAAACTGAAGTTTCCCAAACCAAGAGCCTTCATGCACTCCTGGCCAATGAAAGTGTCCAAGCCGAGCTTATCGACTCTACGCTGTAACAGGGAAAACAGTAAACAAAAGTAATCAAATTTTAATCGTCTCACACTGGGGACGAATTTTAGTGGAAAGTGGAAATTAATTCAGGCCAAAGTTTATCCAGATACGAAACGCATGTTAACACAAGGTGTAAACGGACGCAAAGTGTCCAAAACAACGTTACTATGCGTATTGACTGCATTCGGGGTCGTGATTTGAGTCAGTGTAACGTCTTAATAAGAAATACTGTACCTGCGTGTCCTCGCCGGGCTGAGGGAGCTTTTGGGTCCGTGACAGTGCAAGCATCTCTATCAATTCTCTGCAGAAAGAGAAAAGAAATAAGTTTACAACAGGAGAAGCAACTTCACTGACAGAACCATGACAGCAAGAGGATCAAGGACCACTGTTGGTCTGCTGCTCACAAAGCTGGCGGGCCACTGGCGCTTTGCTCAGCCGGTGGTTAAGCAAAGTATTAGACAAAATTCCACTTATCATCGCTCATTTTCCACTCACAGTCCAATTTACTGATTTTTCCTTCCTTCCTTTAGTTATACTTTGTAAATTTGTTTAGTAAATCATTTTAATCCAGCTCAGCGTCAGCAACAACATTCCTCTCAGTTGTTTGTAATATTTGTCTTAATTTACTTTCTAAAATAAAAGTCTCTGTGCATTTAAAATCTGTTTGAGCAGATTAAAAATTAGTTACAACTTGTATGCAGGACAGTAATCTGGGTGGTCCGAGGGGGGGATCAGTAGTGGCCAACAGTCAGCGGGGTGCCGACCTTATTAAGCCAGCGGACCAATATATGCTGCTATCTGGGAAGATGGAGAAGTCAGTCAAAAGCCAAATTGTTCTGTTCAAACCCAACTGACTACAACTTGGCACTACAAGTGTTTCTATTTTATTACCCACAGCCGATTTATTCTGGGCTTGTTTACTTAAAGAAGAAACAAACTTTGTGATGTTATTTAGCAAAATTACTATTTGTGGCTTATATATCATCTGTTACTTACTCTCTGAAGGGGGATTAAACTGACTCTTCAAAATCTCTCCATAATTCAAGTGTTCGATCGAAACAAAGTCTTTTAGAGTGATTTGATGTGAAATGGTTCACAGTAGAGAAACTTTTAGATTTCTTCACAGTGGTGGTGATAGGAACCAGACGTCCACCTCCAAAAGCTCCCTCACAGAAAGACATCATGAGATATTTATGAATACACTGCCTGATGTTCATGACGTTGTTATACGTTTTATATGTTGTATATGTTTCTGAAGATTTTGGTTGTACAACATATTTTTAAGCTCCGTTCATGGCGAAGGGGTGCATGCAGGGTGCTGTCAGGTGAAACAGGATTTTCAGATTTTCCACTATTACCATCAACAACTTTCCATACAAAACTCCTGTAGGTTCACTGGTGGTTTTGGATAGTAAATAAAATGTCTATATTTGTGTTGTAGTCATGGCGACGCCTGGTTCCTATCACCACCACTGTAAAGAAATCTGAGTCTGTAACTTTCTCTACAACGAGCCATTTTACCATTGAAACTATACGGTCAGTGGAGCTGATAAAATGGACAGTGAGTGTAGATACAAGGAGGTGGACTTAATGAAGTGACCGGTCGGTGTATACGATTAATCGCGATTATTTACTTTAACAGTTTGTTAACGCTAGTAATTTCATTCATATTTCTTTGTGTGTTTCAGTGCCGTTATTTAAAGGGGAACTTCACCAATTTTTCAAATTTTTACATAATTAACTGGTTGAGATGTAAACAGAGTCATTCAGAGTGGTTTGGTGTGAAACACTCTGTTCCAGAGAAACTTACCGAGTCAGTATTGTTCACAGTGGTGGTGATAGGAACCAGATGTCCACCTCTAAAAGCTCACAGTAAGTTATTACATAAAATGGTTATGAAAATGCAGCTTGATGTCTGAGATATTGTTTTATAATAGATTTGGGATGAGGTTTTGGCCTAAAATGTCTAAAAGGCAAAATAGACCCCAAAGAAGACTTGTTTTTTCAGATTTATGACTGTTTTACCATCATCAACATAACATATATAAACTCATAAGACTCGTGTAGGTTCACTGGTGGTTCTGGATAGTAAGCAAAATGTCTATATTTGTGTTGTAGTCATGGCGACCCCTGGTTCCTATCACCACCACTGTAAAGACATCTGAACCATTTCACAGCAAACCACTCTGAATTAATCTATTTACATTTCAGCAACTGAAATAAACAGAAATTTTATAAAATCGGTGGAGTTCTCCTACAATGCGTTAAAGCTAGCCATCGTTGGTTTATGTGTAGCTGAACAGTGAGCAGGTTAGGTAGCTAAACAAGTGATGTTAAACGAGAGAATTTGCTCTTAACGGGTTTAAACAGAACATAGTAGCTCTTTGTTTACGGTTTCTACCGACTCGCTGGGCGAGTAGATGGCATTCCCAGATAAAATGTTTATTAATGTTTAGTAACATTTATTTCACAGCTTTTAACGTGTTCTATCACAGATTTTTTTTTCCCACCCGTATTCCGTCAAGTCCCGCCTTCCGCGCTCGTCCTGAGCTCCTATTGGCCAGCGGCTCGCCATCCCGCATATGGACGCGCTAAAAGCCAATCCTGGCGCAGAGGGCGGAATGCCGCCAGCCAATCACGGCGCGAGTGGCCGAATTCGTGCGGGAAAATTGTCCCTCTTCATGAGAATCTAACAGTAACGAGCACTGAGAGCCGCTCGGCCACGAAATAAAGACACGACCAGCAACGAACCAGCAAAGCTCAACCCGCACATCAGAAACGAGACCCACCTGGACAAAACCTCGATATCATTCAGCGCAGAAAGGAGCTTCTCTTTCGTCGACTTGTCGCTCGCCGCCATTGTGTTGGTTTCCTTTCCCTTCTATGCGAGAGAGAGTATAACGAGAGCCTGAGCACAGCGCCGCCATCCGGCCGGAAGACCGCAAGTTTCAAGTTTTTTAGTCATTTGCACCTCAAATCAGGACATTCATGCGTTGAAATGCTTGTGGTGAGGCTCAGATAATAGAGACTCTACAGAAAGTAAACAAAGTAAAAAAAAAATAAAAATACTAGAAAATACTGGAACTGAAATAAATTAAATATACACAAAATATAGGAGAAAAAAATCCTCTCTGCTATGTACAAATATATTTATATTAAATGATAATCTATAATTTATATTAAAGGATCATCTGTGAAGAATATATACATTTTAAAGTGACTTAGTGTTAAAGTGTTATTGTCCATAGCAGAGATATGATACAATAATAATGCTGACAAAGTGACTGAGTGGAATGATAGCTGGTGAAGGACCCACAGCTTCACAGCTTGTTCAGAAGCCTGACAGCCTGTGGGTAGAAACTGTTCATTAACTGGGTTGTTCCAGCCTGAATGCTGTGAAATCTGCCTGATGGCTGGATGGTGAACAGGCCGTGTGCTGGGTGACGCTGTCTGACTGGATCTTTTTGATCTTCCTGAGGCAGCAGGACTGACAGATGTCCTGTAAGGCTGGTAGTTTGTTGCCTATGATGGCTTCTGCTGTCCTCACCACTCCTTTCTCACCACTCCTTTAAGGGTCTTAACACCACAGAGCTGCTGAAACTCTTCAATATTGCGATATTTCCAAAATACCACGGTATCAGATGATTTAAGTCAGGATAAATAAAGTTGATGAGCCCATTATTCCGGAGTGCTGCTGCTCTCTGCTGAAAGAACACCTCAAACTCGATGTAACTGACTGTTCTGTGGTCTTTTCTGCATTATGAGTTCATTTTGGGCCTCAAAACTCCTTAAAAATGTATTTTTTCATTGGTGTTTTTGGACAAAGTATTATACTTGTGATTATAATCACAGTAAGTGATTTACCTTCAGAAACCTCAGAAACCTCAAGCTGTCAAATCAGAGACTGTAGGAGCTGTTTTTGAAATGTACAGCATTTCTGCAACCCAGTTACCATTTTTAGTGAGATGTAAGTTATAAATGGCATTTAAAAGCCTGTCACCTGAATTTATTACACTGAATAATTAATTCAGTTGGCAGAACACCTCATATTGGAAAAGCACCTATAAAGCTTACTATAATGCTATGATTCACACATAAAATATACTATATAGGGATGTTTTTCCACACCTCCAAAGTTCAGTCTTAGAAGTTGGTTCATCATTTTCTGCAGTAATCAAACACATTCAGTGGTGTTGAGGTCTGGACTCTGGGGTGGTCAGTCCACTGTTCAGCTTTTTTGTTTGATGTGTCCGTCTCCTTTTCTCAGTGAGGTTCTTCTTGACAGCTACACATCCTTTCAGACCCACAGCGCTGAGTCGTCTTCTCACAGTGGAAGGATGGACAGAAACACCTGTGGATGTTTTCAGATCTGAAGCAGCTTGATTTTCCCCTCTCTCTCAGAGATGAAAGCTGTTTAACTCCATTTGAGATTCAGGCCCAAATCATCAAGGTATCAGCCCGTGGGCTCGCATATTGGGTGGGCTCCTATCTGGCTACATTTTTCAGGTGGTCAGTGAATTTTTTATAATATCACAGAAGGTGATGTGAGGCCTACGCAGCACCACAATGGCAGCACACTAACCGCAGTGTTGGGCACGTCCTCCCCATAAGGGCATATTTTTTTCCAAATTGAGGAAAAACAATAGCACAGTTATGCACACATTAATGAGAGCACAGCTTAACACAAACCCAACAACCAGTGCAACGCTTTCCTATAAAGCAGGCGTCCAGTCTTGACAAGCAACGTTTACCTAATTGAAGATGACGAAATCGGATAATATTTAAAGACAGAAAAAAGCAGCAAACCTAAAAACCCAAAGCCACAGCGGGCGTGGAAAATTATTATTATTATTTTTTTACATTTTTCATCTTACCTCTGATAACCGTTCACAGATCACTGTGGCCAAGGATGAAGAAACGTTTTTTTTTAATTCAAGAGGCTGACATTTAAAATTTGGTATTGAAAAACCTTCTTTACTTTTGACGTAAGTCAATGGAACCAGTCATTTTCCAAGTCATTTTGGGCCGTTTCTTTTGGTCCATTCTTCATGAAACTAACACACAATGTAAAGAGCAACATGTACTTTCAAATTATGTCAAAATCTGACAAAGGACAAAAAAGGAGATACAAGGTTTTCCTCCGACAGCAGCGATGTGTATATATATATATATACTGAGGCATGAAATTATGACCACCTAGCCCATCTGTTTCTCTGCATACTTTGTTAGCCCCCTTTTACCCTGTTCATCAGTGGTCAGGGCCCCCATGAACCCTCACAGAGAAGGTACTATTTGGGTGGTGGATCATTCTCAGCACTGCAGTAACACTGACGTGGTGGTGGTGTGTTAGTGTGTGTTGTGCTGGTGCGAGTGGATCAGACACAGCAGTGCTGCTGGAGTTTTTAAACACTGTGTCCACTCACTGTCCACTCTATTAGACACTCCTACCTTGTCGGTCCACCTTGTAGATGTAAAGTCAGAGACGATATCTCATCTGCTGCTGCACAGTGTGTGTTGGTCATCCTCTAGTCCTTCATCAGTGGTCACAGGACGCTGTTGGCTGGATATTTTTGGTTGGTGGACTATTCTCAGTCCAGCAGTGACACTGAGGTGTTTAAAGGCTCCAGCAGCACTGCTGTGTCTGATCCACTCAGACCAGCACAACACACACTAACACACCACCACCACGTCAGTGTTACTGCAGTGCTGAGAATGACCCACCACCCAAATAGTACCTGCTCTGTGAGGGTCCATGGGGGTCTTGACCACTGAAGAACAGGGTAAATGGGGGCTAACGTTTATCCTTGGTTAATCTGAACACATCTGCCAATGACAGGCTCATTACTTTTTTATTCACTGTTCATTACTGTGTGTTTGCTGTCAAGTCTTTATTCCTTATTCATGTTTTGCTTGTGTTATTGTTTTGCTATCCTGTGTCGATGAGAGGAGGATGGGTTCCCCTTTTTGAGTCTTGGTTTCTCTCAAGGTTTCTTCCTCTTGCTCTTGGGGAGTTTTCTCCTGCTGCAGTCGCCCTTGTTTTGCTCATTAGGAGCTTAGATCAGGATTCCTGTGACGCTGCTTTGTGACAATGTTGTAAAAAGTACTATGGAAATAAACTGATGTGAGTTGACAGCAGACATTAGTTTCTTCTACATTTTATTCAACGCTGATGTGATGGACTGAAGCCCACACCATTTCCCTACTGGCTGTCAGATGTATATGTCGGAGTACACTTAGTCAAAAGTTCAGCTCTGTCAGACTTTTCAAATGGACATCATTTTCATGCATCATCTGTTGTCCATCACCACATCGTTTCTCTGTAATCAATGGCGAGTGACGTTTTTGGTGGAAACCGAATGTCCTTGTAAACGCAGGATAACTGCGCCTCTATTGTGACGTCCCCACAAGCTGGTCCTTCTCTGGGTTTCGGTTCTCTGCTGGCTCAACCTGCCCAGCCTGGAGCTCTGATTCCTTTTCCAGAGCTCCTTGTGCAGAGGAATCTGTACCCTCTTTATCACTGCTCTCCTCTGCCTCCTCTTCCAGCTTCACACCAGGTGCTCCATCCACAGCACTCTGCCCTTCATCATCCTCCTCTGTGAAGAGATTCCTCATGGAGTCCGCAACCTCCTCTCGCAGCTCGTCCTCCGACTCCTCAAAGTTCCTGAGAACACAGAAGAGAAGGAAGGAAGAGACGGAGATTAATTAAACCCCATAATTCTGGCATCATTGGAATTCAATCTCAAGATTTCCTGAAATTGCACTATGAAGCATTTGGGGGTTTGGAGACCCCTCTGGTGAGTATTCAAGCAAAACTCACTCGAACCAAAACGAGACGTCTTACAGGGACGAAAGTGAATTATTATCATCATATCTTCATCGGTATAATGTTGATTTTGCATTTCTCTTTTTTCTCCTGACTCAGTAATGCTTCTCTTTTTTTCACGCAGTGCTGCTTTAACAGGGCAAAACCTCACACAAGAACACCACTTGGGTTGTTCTAGAACAGGTATGTCAAACTGGGTTCCTACCGAGCCAAGGCTGTGGAGAGACTGGCACTTTCCCTCATCCAGTGCTCTGAATTCAATCCATGAAAGGCGTTGCTAATTAGCTCATGAGGTGAGTTAACTAAGGCAGGACGCTGTACTGAGATCCATGAGGACTGGAGGACTGATGCGATGATGGCCGCAAGAGCCGGCAGGAATGCGGGGGCCGAACTCCAAGCCCAGATGAAACCCTGCAAAGACTGCGGGGAGAGGATGAAATCCATGAGGGGTGGGGCAGCGCACAAGTCCCAAGCCCCACCTCCTGGGCGCGGCGAGGCCACTTTAATTTGCCTCAGATTTGATCCCGGTGGACAAGCCGGAAAGCGGGGGCGGTGCCCAGGAGCCGGTGCTCAGGACTCGCACACCCTCCCCCCACTCACTCACAGATTTCATCCTCTCCCCGATGTCTTCGTGGGGTTTAATCTCGGCTCTCGTGGCCGTCATCGGGGCCCAGGGGACAGCCGCATGCCACAGTGTTCTTAAAGTTCAGATAATACACAAGAGATTCTCAAAAAAGCTCATTTATGGCAACAATAACATAATCCTGCCACCTCCTTTGCCCTGTTCTGACAGAAGCCCCTGAAGCCCCTGGCTTATTGTTTTTTCCCACGACACTCACGTGTCATCGTCATCTGATCTGGGCTCTAGGCGCTCCTCGTCCACCTCCACATCAGAGCCATCATCATCATCGTCTGCAGCATTCATTTTTCCACCTTCAGCAACCTCCTCTTCCTCCTCTTCCTCGTCTTCCTCGTCTTCCTCCTTTGTAGTGCCTTTGTCACATAACGTGGTCGTTCCTGACAAAGAGACAGAGGATCAGTAAGGCAGTCTGATGATATGTTAGTGTTATTGTGAT